CCCCAATTAGGGTTACAAGCCCCTTAAATAGGGAAAAGTAATTCTAATCAGAATAGGAAACTAACACCCTAAGCCCTAATCATAATAACCACGAATTGTGCCTTAAATAAATGAATGTTCAGCCCAAAATAATATAAAAAAATGCTAAAATCACTAAAAGTAACCTAAAGTAACATGAAATATCAGTTTGTTACAAATTGCGACAGAATTGCGAGATTGACGCAAACTGTATAATCTAGCATAAATGCCCTCAATTAAGCTTCTCTTGAACCTGAATAATGTTTATCATGCCTTGATAATCATCCAAGTTTTGATTTACTTGTGCATGTTGTTATCAACCCAGATCTGCTCAATAAGGCCATTTAAAGCTTCTCGCATCTTCTTAGCTCTAGCTCTCGTGGCTGGACCTCCTGGAATATGTAATGGCTCTCTTGTCGTGGTACATGTGGGGTCATCTTGATTCCCATCAACATTCTCCTTACCTTGCTTATATTGGATGACGTATGGAAACGTCTGGATGACCTCCATCCATCGCGGATGCCTCTTGTTCAACTTGTGTTGGCCTTTCAAGTGCTTCAATGATTCATGATCAGTGTGTATCACAAACTCCTTAGGCCAAAGATAATGCTGCCATGCTTTTAATGCCCAAACCAATGCGTACAACTCTTTGTCATAAGTTGGGTAGTTTAGAGCTGCCCTACTTAGCTTTTCACTAAAATATGCAATTGGTCGACCCTCTTGCATGAGTGCTGCACCAATACCTACACCTGAAGCATCACATTCAATCTCAAACGTTTTATCAAAATTAGGTAAAGACAATAATGGAGCGTTAATCAATTTTTGCTTGATTAGCTGAAATGCCTTTTCTTGCTCTTTGCCCCACTTGAATCCAATGTTCTTCTTGATTACTTCAGTAAGTGGTGCTGCCAAAGTGCTAAAGCCCTTCACAAACTGTCGGTAGAAACTGGCAAGTCCATGAAAGCTTCGTATTCACCTATACTTGTGGCACCCAGCCATTCTTGAATTGCTCGGACTTTTTCTTCATCAACCTGTATCCCTTGTGCACTAACAACAAAACTAAGAAATACAAGCCTATTAGTGCAAAAAGTGTATTTCAAGTTAGCAAATAACTTTTCCTTTCTAAGCACATCCAAAACTAATTTTTAATGCACAACATGTTCTTCCAAGTTTTTGCTATAAATGAGAATATCATCAAAATAAACAATAACAAACCTGCCTATGAATGCATGCAAAATATGATTCATCAATCTCATAAATGTGCTTGGTGCATTAGTTAAACCAAAAGGCATGACTAACCACTCATACAATCCATGTTTTGTCTTAAAAGCTATTTTCCATTCATCTCCCTCTTTCATGCAAATTTGATGATACCCACTCTTCAAATCAATTTTCGATAATACAAAAGCACCATGCAACTCATCTAACATGTCATCTAAACGAGGAATAAGATGTCAATACTTTACCGTAATGATGTTGATGGCTCAACAATCAATGCACATCCTCCAAGTCCCATCTTTCTTAGGCACAAGTAGAACAGGAACAACACATGGGCTCATGCTTTCCCTCACATACCCCTTCTCCATTAATTCACTTACCTGCCTCTAAAGCTCCTTTGTCTCCTTGGGGTTGCTCCTATAGGTTGGTTGGTTTGGAATTGTCGCACTAGGTACAAAATCAATTTGATGTTCAATCCCTCGTATTGGAGGTAATCCAGGTGGCATTTCATCGAGAAAGACATCCTCGTAATCCTGCAAAAGAGAAATAACACCACTTGGCAAATTTTCGGTAAAATCATCACTGCACAAAAATGCCTTTTTGTACAGAAGTACTATAAAGGGCTATTGTAAACTTAAAACTCTCTTGATCTCACTTTTTTTTTTTTTTGCAATGAAACAATGTTGTTCCTCTCTTAAACTCACTAAAGCTGAATTTGCTTTCTTTTTTTCTCTCTCAATTTTTTTTGGCCTCTCTCTTTTTCTCTCGAATTTCCACTTCTATCTTTTCTCTCACTCTCTCTTTTTTGCTCATTCTCTTCTTTTTGATCTCTCTCTTTTTTAAGCCTCACTTGATCCTCATACACCTGTTGGGGTGTCAAAGGTACAAGAGTGATTGGACGCTGATTGAGTACAAAAGAGTATTTATTGGTTAACCCATCATGCTTGAGTTGTTGATCAAACTGCCATGGTCGTTCTAACAACAATTGTCCAGCATGCATTGGAACAACATCGCAAAGTACCTCATCTTCGTATTTTCCGATTCGAAATGCAACTAACACCTATTTGTTTACCTTTACCTCGCTGCTATCATTCAACCATTGCAACTTGTATGGACTAGGGTGTCTTAGCGTAGGCAATCCTAATTTTTCCACCATGGTTGTGCTAGCAACGTTAGTACAACTACCACCATCAATAATCATACTGCATACCATATCTTTAACATAGCACCTAGTGTGCAAGATGTTCTCTCGTTGCACTTTATCCACGTCCTTTGTTTGCACACTTAAAGCCCTCCCACCACCAACAAATCTCCATGTACAGCAAACTCCTTCTCATAGGCGTCCTCCAATGGTGGCATTTCATTGGTGTTAGAATCTTCATCTTCGGTCACAATTTCACCATTGTCTTGCATCACCATAACCCGCTTGTTTGGACATTGACTCGCTATGTGACCCTTGCCTTGACATCTAAAGCACTTAATATCACGATTTCAAGTAGTAGAAGTGTCGGTCTTACCTTGAGATTCACGGCTGGTGTTCTTAGTCTTATGCTCAAATTGGTGCTTGAGAGTTGAGGACATTTATGGTTTGTCCTCCTTTCTGGAAGAACTTGGTTTCCAAGGATTAGACCCTGGGTTATGGCCAGCACGCGTACCTCCCCTCCTCTTGAGGTATCACTCTACGATGATGGCCATGCGCACCATGTCTTCTATCTCCACATAGTGTTGCATCTCTAGCCAATCATGGATGTCTAGATTCAATCCTTGCAAGAATCTCACCATCGTTGCCTCTCGGTCTTCTTTTACATTGGCTTTAATCATGGCTTTCTCCATCTCTTGATAATTCTCCTCCACACTCTGATGTCCTTGCCTAAGCCCTTACAACATTGTGTACAATTCTCAATAATAATGGCTGGGCACAAATCGCTTCCTCATCATTGCCTTCATCTCTTCCCATGTTTCAATTGGATGTTCCTAGTTCCGACGCCTATTCATCACCAACTGATCCCACCAAACAAGAGCATAGTCAGAAAATTCAATGGCTGCTAGTCTCACCTTCTTAAGCTCAGAATAATTGTGGCAATCGAAGCCCAACTCCACCTTCCTTTCCTACTCAAGATAGGCTTCCGGATCTGCTTTTCCCTGGAATGGTGAAATATTCATTTTGATGTTGCCCAAACTATTGTCCTCCCGATTCTTAACTTCTCTATTCCCATTCCCATGCCTAAACCTACCCCGGTTCAATGGTGGCTCATTCAACTCTTCCAACTCCTCTTCTCTTTCTATGTCACCCCAATTTTCTCTTTGCTGCATCTGCCTAGGTGGTGGTTGAGCGGGAGAATTTCGTTGCTGCCTCCTATTCTCCAATTGCAACATTTCCAATTGCTCTTGCATGGGTTCAATTAACCTATTCACCATCCGTCGCACCTCTCCCAATATCACTTGCACTTATAGGAAGGGTTTGTTGTGGAAGTTCTTCACTGGAGTTTTCTTCTTGGTTGCATGACATGCTTGTAATTTGCAAAATGGGGTTAGAAACAATATAGAAAGGACCTCACCACACTCCTTCACATGTTTCACTTAAAAAAAAAAAATGTATCACTCAATTTCGCTCGTGTTTCACTGAATTGGCTTTTACCCTCTAATATGCTCACCACTCGTACCTTTTCCCACTCGTGAATTCTCTTTCAGTTCTTTTCAAACTCATCAAACAATATTCAAAATTCCTAGTAACAATTCACCTGAAACTTACCAACCAAACTTCGAGTTTTAAAAGGATGACGACAATGAACATGTACTGACCAGATTTTGGAATTCATGGAAAACACGAAATGGACAAAAATAAAATAAATTAAAATAAAATTTTGCACTTTGGGGTAAAGTCAGATTAGGACTTCTGGATATTAGAACAATGGAAAGAAATAATAATAAAAAAAAAAAAGCAAGAAAGACAGATCAGTTTGACTATTCCTAGTATGAATTGGATTGACGAATCCCTAAGATGGTAAGATTCCTAACTTAGGAAGAAGAAACAAACAAAACTGCCATCTCCTAATTTGATTAGAATTCAAACAATTCTCAAACTTCTTATTTGACCAAAATTCAAAGACAATCTCTACTCCTTATTGTAGTAGGATTCCTTTCTCTTTAAAGATTTGGCCACTGATTTCAGCTCTATATAAGAAGTTTAACCACAAACTTCTTGTCTCTCTAACTCACCTTTTTCTTTTTTTT